CTCCCTGCTGGATCATGCCCCCCATCCGCTCCCTGCTGGATCATGACCCCCATCCGCTCCCTGCTGGATCATGCCCCCCATCCACTTCCTGCTGGATCATGCCCCCCATCCACTCCCTGCTGGATCATGACCCCTATCCTCTCCCTGCTCGATCGTGCAGCCCCTCATCCATCTGGACCTGAGCAAAGCCCTGAGGCCAACCCCTCAACCTTTGTCCCAAGATTTACTACCTGGTGGTAAAGATAAGGAAAACGAGGACCCCCTGGGCCTGCTCTGGAAAATTCCAAAATCCCAGATAAGAATGTTTTTTCACCGAGTCTTCCAGGCCTGCCTGCAGTAACGATTCTTTGCCTGGAGCTCCTCAGGGCCTCATCTGTAGGGACTATGTCTCACACCACAAGAGTGAATTGTAGGAAAGGACATGTGCAGGAGACAGCTGATGGGACTCAGAACCACGTCAGGGGGCTGGAGAGATGGCTCAGTGGTCTAAAGCACCTACTTGAAACAAGCTTGGCGAAGCACAGGGACCTCGGTTCGATCCCCCAGCACCACATGCCAGCCAGCCCCGCCCCCTGGTGGGCTGAGCTGGCCACACACACACAGACACAATAAATAAATGTAATAAATAAAAATAAATATTTAAAAAAAAAAAAAGAACCACGTCAGTCACGTCAGCCATGTGCCCAATGAGGCACCCTAGACCCCTCAACATTTTAAATCCCTGTTATCCTCAGCAGTCCCACTCTTTCCTTTCCACCTGCCTGAACCTGCTCAGGCTCAGTGTACTTTCACCTCATTAAGATTTGCTGCTTCTTCCTCACCATCAGGTGCCACAACCACTGCTTTCTTCATTGCACACAAGGACATAAGAACCCGTCCAGGTTCCCTTCACCATGGTAACACCCATGTTACTGGACTTCGAAAGGCACGGTGCTTGCTGACTAGCTTGCCTCTGGCCATAGAGGAACTTGGGACAGCAGAAGAAGGCCTCTGGGCACATGCATAGACCAGAAAGACTGAGCCCTTCCATGCAGGCAGGAGCAGCACATGGGAGTAGGAGCAGGGACAATCACGCACGGGTATTCGGAGTGGAACCCGGGCTTCTTGGGTTCTTCTCTGGATACATTGCAAGTTCTCAGTTCCTAAGAGAGAGTTTTGTTTGGTTTATTTCACCATTTCTGCCAAGCAGAATTTCCATCTTGATTCAAGCGATCCAGAAAGCAGGCTTGGCCCCATCCAACTCTCCTCTCCCCACTCCTAGCCACTTTCTACTGAAAGAACTGCCTGGGCCACTTTGCTATTGAATTAGCCAAGAATGGGCCAGGCCCTTGCTTCATGGATTGTGTACCTCTAGGGCAGGGTCCAGTTTAAGGTTTGTCACTCACGCCCTGTGCTCTTTGCCTGAATTGATGTCACCCTCACGCAGCACTCCACAGAGCAGGTCTGGAAGAACAGGGCCTGTCTGTTGCAGAAGGAGAACCTGCTAGCCTTTCCTTGCAAGGCCTGTCAGCAACTGAGCTGCACAAAGCCCTGGAGGCCTGGAGCTGGCTCTTCTGTTAAGGAAAGCTAGCAAATCCGTACAGATGTTTCTCTGAGAGCTGTGCTGACCAGGACTCAGGGATTTAGCCCTGCCTGGTATCAAATAGCATGGGAAGCAAAGAATGCTCTTTGGGGATCAGGAAATATATTACATGAAATCACAATGTAAGTGTGTTCTTTTTGGATTAGGCAATGCTTTTCCCTTCTATTTTTCTTTATATAACCTTATCACTTAGTGGACTTTATTTCTTTCCCCTCTGCCTTCCTTGGCTCCCAAGGCCTGCTGTGGTTCTTCAGGGCCGACTAAGCTCACTGAGTGGCTGTAACTCACAAGGTTTTGAGCCTCTCCACTCCAGCCTCTCCTAGTAAGTCTTATTAAGGAACTTTAGGCCTTCATTTTCCTACCAATGTGGAAATTCTACTGAAGTTAGATACTTACAATCCAACAGATGGGGGTGGAGGACAGAGAGATTGAGAGAGGTTGGACCAGGTACAGTTCTCCAGAGAGGTACAACTGATGGTGTGAGCAGATAGAGATAAGAGGGGACTTACGAAAGGCATTAGTCCTTGTGAGCTTGGAGGCTGAGGAATCCCGCAGCATGTCATCTGCAACCTGGCGAGCCAAGGAAGTCAGTAGCCAGCTTCAGTTCAATTCTAGATTGAGGGAAAGTGATGGAAGCAATGCCTATTCCAAGGTCATAGGCCCAAGGACACAGGAAGCTGCTGGCCAAGCCCTGGAGTCTGAAGGCCAGAGAACTTGGGGTTCTGATGTCTAATGGTAGGAAAAGAAGGGAGTTCCAGCTCCAAAAGAGAGACAAAAAGTGAATTCAGCTTTACTCTGCCTAAAAAGAAACAAAGGTCCTCATCCTATCCAGGCCTATAGCCCATCGGCAGGTCCCCACCCAAGCTGTAGAGTGCAGACCTGTCTTATTCAGCCCGCCGAGTAAAGTGAGAGTCTCTTCCCAGACTCCTACAGAAACTATTCTTCCTCTGCTATCTATGTGTTTCTTAATTCAGCTGACTTGACAACAAAAATAACCACCACAATGGCTAATTCTTAAGCCGTGGGGCACAACCTCCTTCCCGCCTGAGTCTGTAGCCCTGTGAAGATGGCCACCACTGGCCTCCCTGTCACTCTGTCCCACCATGTTCAATGGACCACTGTCAGGATCAGGGTCTGCCCCACAGTCAAGCAGAGAAGAATCTGATATACTCTGGGATGTGAGAGAGACTCCTCACCTCTAACATTTTAGTAATAGACCTCAAACTTTAAAGGGAAGTCCCTCTAGAAGAAGAAGACTGAATTCATCTGTACTTATGCACAAGTGGCATATGGCTCATGGTCCTTTCTCAAGGAGAGAGAGAGAGAGAGAGACAGAGAGAGAGAGAGAGAGAGAGAGAGAGAGAGAGACAGAGAGACAGAAAGAGTTCACCCATTTGATTTCTAGCTCTGAGATTCTGTTAGAGAAAGGGCTAGGAGGGCAGAAAGAAACTATAGGAAGAACAAGAAGCACTGGATACCAGGAAAAGAAAGGCAGGGAAAAGACGAGGGTCTCCTTCACAATTCTGATGGCGCCTCTCTTTCTATGTGGCCCCCCTTTCTTTTTGCCTTCACCTGTTTGTCTCCAGGTTGGCCTACCCTATGCCAGGAGCTCTTTGGTGGGCAGGAGAAGCCAGGTTCTCTAAGGGGCAGACACACTCCCCATTCCCACCTCTGCTCCATCCATGTGTCTCTGTGTCCCACAATGCCAGGATTTTACATCTTCATGAACCAAGACATTTCAAAAGAACTAGAAGAAAAAGAAGCTAAGGAGGTGGTGAGCCCCAGGGCAGAGGAACTAAAAGTTACATAATGATCTGTTGACATCCAAATTAGTTAAACTATGTTAAATCAGATTAATGATGCCGCATACTGGGGCGTGCTGGCCTGTCTGATGGCCACGCATTCCTCCTCACCACAGGTGTGCCCTGCCTCACACTTCTCCAACCCTGAGCTGCTGGGCTCTGGCTGCCTCAGGCAGGAGCACAGAAAGCAGGGGCAGCATCTCCGGTAGAGGACAGATTCTACGCTGGCTGCAGGTCCGCAGTGGTTCCAGCTGTGGTGATGTGGCTGCTCTGAGTTCTAAGAACGGCGCCTCCTCTCTCTACCTCTGCTCCCAGAGCCAGCAGAGGATTCTTCTGTGGTTAATCTCCGGGTCAGCATATGAGCACAGCCCTGGCCTCTCTGTTCATCCAGCCCCACGTGAGCCTGACTCTGCAGCAGATGCCCGCTGCAAAACACGCAGCGACGGATACCACCTCTCACTCACCCACCTTAGCAATTTGCACACCGCATTTATCAACGTTGGCACACGTATACAAAACCTAGACTTTACAGGAAGCTCTTAGACTTCTTTAGGATCTAAATGTTTGCCTCTGTGTGTGTGTGTGTGTGTGTGTGTGTGTGTGTGTCTGTGTGTGTGTGTGTGTATGTGTCTGTGTTACTGGGATCAAACACACGGGGCCCTCTACCATGTAGCTGCATCCCAGCTTTTTTAATTTCTATTTTGACAGTGTCTTGCTAAGTTACCTAGGCTGACCTTGAACTTACAGTGCACCTTGCCTGGCCCACCTCCATGCTGGATTACAGCGTGTATCACCATTCCTAACCTATGACCTGAATCTTAAAGGAGAATGGAGACTGTTACGGTTTGTGTCTCGATGTTTGCCCAAAGCCTCCGGAACTCCTAGGTGGGCTTTTCAGAGCTGTCTGGATCTAGGATGTGATACTGTGATGACATGTAAGCGGCACAAAGCTAGTCCATGGAGCAGTTCAGCATGGCTCTGGCTGTGGTAACACTGTTCAAAAGGCTTCTAACCTGAATGAGATCAAAAGGAGAGGAGGCTGGCTGCTTCGCTCCTCTGCTCTGCCTCCTACTGCCCTTCCAGGGACTCTTTCTCCTCTGCGATGCCCACCGCACCGTGGAGCCAGCCAACTATGGACTAAAACCTCTACAGACAGTGAGCCGAAACATACTTCACCTTCAGCTTTGGGGGTTGGGTATTTTGGTTTAGCAATGAGAAAAGCAAGACAAAGATGCATGCAGAACAAAGCTACCTTTTTGCACTCACCTGCTTCAAAACTGACTGGAAGCACAGTGGCTAGGGTTCACCCCCCAGTGGGCCGTGCCTGCCCCACCCCCGGGGCATGCTGAAACAGCAATTGAGACTGGCTGTGGAGGTGCACCCCTGCACTCCCAGCACTTGGGAGGCTGCAAACAGGAGGCTCACTACGAGGCTGATCTACGTAGTCGGACCCTGTACCAAATACATTTTAAAAAATGATAGGAAAGAAGGATCTTGCCATTGCTTCCATGCACTTCCTTTCTGTTTGCAGTTTTGACACTCTGCTCATGAGCACAGGTGAAAAAAGGCCTTGGAGAAGGGTTTGGTGAAATCCATCTTCGCCTTCATCCCACCCAGCAAGACAGCTATATCTGATACTTGGGTTCTTAGGGAAAACCTCAAGAATGAGTTGCTGCCTCTTGTTTTAAAATATAGTATTTTCATTTCTGATTCCTTTGATTTTTCTTTTGATGCTGCTGCACCTTGTGGACATACATTTGTGCTATTTTAAAACTTGGTACAGATTCTGAGTGACATTGTCCTGTTTTTACAATTCTGTGATGCTTTAAAAAATATCGCTTTGGTCTACAGCCATACCATGGTGAATGCACCCTATCTCATCTGGAAGTATTGCTCTGTTATAGTTTAGATCTAAAATGCCCCTCAGAAGTCTCACATACTTGGAAGATGCTGTGCTCACCCATAGACTCATCCCTTGATGAGTTTAGAAGCTGAATAAGCTGTTACGTGGGGGGCCTAAGTGGAGGTGGGTCACTGGGTGTGACCTGGACACTGTCTTCTTGTCCCTGCTCCTGTTTCCTCTCTCCTCCTCTCCTTCCCTCTCCCTCCGCTCCCTTCCCCCTCATTTCCTGGCTGCTGTGGCTTCAGCACTTTTCCTCCGACCTGGGCCCCTGCAGTGCTGCTTCTGTCCTGAAGCCAGCTGACTGTGGATGAAAACTGAGCCAAACTAACCCTCTCTATCAGATTCGCTGAGCAGTCATACGCCCTTCAGCCACACCTGAGCTCGTGCCCTGCACCCAGCACCCACGCTGTCTCCACACAGCCTCCAACTTTCTAGCCATTAAATTTGGGGAACAACTCAGTCTTCATCTTCCAGAAGCAATGAAGGATTCAGCCGTGTTCTGTGTCTTCCTTTTTCTTCCTTTTATTTCATCACTCCTTTCTCCCAAGAGAAGGACAAAAACCATGAGTCTTTACAGCTGCAAAGTTGTGCTGATTTCTTACTCTCATTGACATTGTGGAGAGCAAAGCGTGGGAAACCTGAGCCCAGTTGCATCATTAGCCTTTCGCCATCTTCCTTTAGCATTTGGTTTCCACGTGGCCCACTGGAGATTCCAGTGTTGGATTAGAATTCGTAAATCATGACCATGATCATGTCAGTACCCTGCTCAAAGATTTTCAGTGTATTCTTGTCGGTACAATGCAGTTTAAAAGATTTAATCTGAAGGGCAGATCCCCACACTTCCCAGCTGAAGTCCCACCACCTGCTGCCTTCTGCCTCACCTCTCACAACCTGTGCACACCCAGAACTCCCCCGCCCCATATGCTCGGATCCTCCTAGTATTGCTTCTGCCTTCAAGTCCTAGAGCAAACAGCTCCCTACGTCAAGCCCAACTCAGGCACCTTCAGGTGACAGGTTGCTTCTTGTTTATCTTCCCCTTATAATCATCTATTAATTAATTAATTAATCAATCTGTTAATTAGGTGACATCTGTGACTACAAAATACATGTACAGACTTGTAGCGGCGTCACAGCACCACTCCTTCCTGTTGTCGCCCTAAGTGCACCCAGCGCTGGAGTTCTCGTCTCCCCACTGCGCTCCCTGGACGTCCTCACCTTAACCCCAGCTGAAACCTGGCAGGTACTGGCAAGCTTTGAAAGAAGTGTTGTTTGGTCCCTCCTTATAAACCTCCTGTCACCAGTTCTAGCCATTCTACTTCAGAAGATACCTCAGATGCGTCGACTTCTCTTTGTTACAAGCTATTCTCTCGTCCAGGTCATAATTATTGCTCACCCAGACTATTTCAAAAGCCACCCAGCTCTCATTATGTGACTCTGGCCCCATAATCCACTCTTTTTTTTTTTTTTTTTTTTTGAGCAGAATATGTTTATTGAGAGAAAGAAAGCTCCTGTCCAAGAGGGGGACAAGAGGGGAGCCTGAGCGGGTTATTCCCCATAATCCACTCTTTTTCCAGGTCATAGGTCAGAGTATGTCACTTACCTGCTTAAAACCTAAGCATGGCCCCTGAGGGCCTGTGTGTCCCGGCCCCAGCTCACGCTCCAGTCTCATCCCAGGCCCCTCTTCGCTTACTGTGCACCACCGCTCTGGCCTCCTTCCATTCCTGAGCCCTTCTGGCTGTATTCCCAGCACAGGGTGTTCCCACCTCCCCAGGGCTCTTCCCACCTCCCCAGAACCTCTCATCCTTCGTTTCCCAGATCAGGAGTAACTGCATCCTCCACTCTCTCTAGTAAATGTTCTCAATATTGCTATCTGGAATTAAATGTAATTGTCCTGTACATAAGTGACAAGACCTCGGTCCTTGTGCCACCACTGAGCAGACCACCGTGAATGGACTGAATGATGACGTCGCCCTTCAAAGCTAGATGAGCTTTTGTTGCTTGCCTGGGGCTTCTCTCTTCCCCTAGGCGGTCAGGAATGCTGGGTATTTTACTCGCCCCTGTGAACCCCAGAACTTACCACAACATCTGGAGCATAATAGAATCCCCATATTTCTTGAATGAGTGAATTGGTGAATATTCATGATAACAAAAGAACTTTTAGAAATACCTGTGGAAAAGGACAGGAAAGCCAGGTGAAATAGAAGCAAAGTTCATAAACAGGGAATTTGTAGAATAAAAGTATAAATGTTAACAAACATGAAAATAGATTTTAATTATAATAAAAGAAATAGGAATTTCTCATAATTAAATTTGTTGGTACAATTTAGACATGATAGCAGGACCGGGGAGATGGCTCAGTGGAATAAGTGCTTTCCTGGCAAGCGCAAGGGCCTGAGTTCAATCCCCGATTCCACAAAAAAAAAAAAAAAAAAAAAAAAAAAAAAAAAAAAAAAAAAAAAAAAAAAAAAAAAAAAAAAAAAAAAAAATTAGATATGATCACTTTTATCATGGAGAATTCCTACCTGTACATGTTAAATCTTAGTTTCTCTTTTTTCCCCATTCCCCTCCCCTCTCTTCAACTCTCCCTCTCTTCCCTATTTATAAAGCTTTGTTTTCTTATCCTTTTTCCTCTCACTTTTTCCTTTTCTATTCCATCCCCCCATTGCCCTTTTCCTTCGAAAAATTACTTCCTATTTCACAATATCTATGACATGCCTTGGCTCTTATTTGCACTTTCAGTTTCTCACACCAGAGTGAGCATGCAGTATTTACATACATGTGTCTGATTTCAGAAATAGGAATTTTAAACCACCCCACATTATGGACACGAGACTGGCAAGATATCGAGCACCCTGCTGAATCACAGTCCCTGTTGGAGATGGGTTAGGAAGCGGGCATTCAGCGGGTGTCAGCGTTGCAAGGCTTTGGTAAGGCAGTTTCATGGTACGCATTACATTTTACTGGTGCAGTCTTGTTAACTCAGAAATTCTGTCTGCTCCATGGAAATGCTTCAGGAATGTACAATGAAAGGGTGAAGATACATTTAGTGCAAGATTGAATGTAACAAAATATTTTTAAAAATCAATTAGGTAAAAATTTTATATTAATTTAGGGTTGAAATTTCCACCCAATGGAGGATCATGAACTGCTCACGGAATGAAGTACGCGTGCCATGTGAGTACTTCTATGAAAATGCCTGACACGCGTCCTTCAGTTTTAAAAAGCCATCCTGATAGAGCATACTGATTTGTGCATATGTATTTATGTTGGAATTATACCTGATATTCATCTATTAATGATGATCTCTATATGTAAAATAAAAGAAGATTTGGAACTTCCACACTATCTTTTTTGTATTAGTTGAATGTATGTGAGCATGTGTGATCTTCATAAATCAAATACAAGGTCAAAAGACTCCTTTACCACATGTCCCAACATAAGGGCTCAGGTAGAAGCTAATACATTAGTTCT